ATTTTTTTGTTGTGTTGTGTGTTTGTGTGTGTATGTGTGTGTGTGTGTGTGGGTTATTGGCGGGAAGCCGAGGCTCTCGTGCTAAGCTCCCCGCTCTCTCCCAGAGATATTAAACACGGCTCTGGAGGTTTTAGCACTGCGCCTCCTGCACAGCCACACACACACAAACTTGTCAGTGCCACAAAAACACACCCGCACACATACACACACAAGCACGAACTTGTGCGTGTGCACGCCTGGGCAGGCTGCATATCAACACGCTCAGGCTGTCAGTCTCTCTAACGCTTGCTCTCATTCTCGCGCACAGACAGTCGCAGACACACATACGCCACACATGCACACTGTGAATGGAATCCCCCAGAGGGGGAGCTTCAGCGCGGCGCTTCCGAGTATCTCTCTGTCTCTCTGTCTGTCTCCTCTCTTCTCTCTTCTCTCCAGCAGTCTGAGCGTTGGCAGCGGGTGGAAAACCAGTTGGAGCGTCTTCCTACTCCTCCATTGTCTTTTTTTTTCTTATCACTTTGCTCATTCACAGAAGAGGATTTAGGGCCACAGAAAGATATAAAAGTATTTACTCTAAACAATAACTTAAATCTGAGAATAAAGAGGGAAAAAATAGCATAAATAACAACAACAGCAAAAAGCTAATTATTTTGAGAAAATGTCAGGGCTATGAATTTAAAGTCAGACAATTTCTGAAGTTTTTATTACAGCTAGGAATATTGGTATTCATTTTTTTAACACCTGTTCTTGAAAACTTAAAGCGCATGAAAATAATAATTTTTGTAAAATTCCGAATTTAGAAAGTGAAAATTTAAAATGGTGACTACAGACTTTTAGATAAATCTTAGATAAAAAAAATATATGGACCAATTATATATTCTGACATTTCTATTATTAGAATATTCAGATTTTAACCTGGAATTTATTTTTAATTTCATTTGAACATAAAACACACTTTATGATATATCCTGGGTTTTTTTTTCCTTCACAATCCAAACCTCACACTGTCATTCTGAGTATAGAGACCACTGAACTGCTTTTAGAATTTTGATTTTATATTAAATTTATTAATAAACTCTATTCAACCGTTTCCTTCCCCCTCCTTTCCTCTTTCCTGGTCTGTGATTGTCCTCTGAATCACTCCTACCCCCCCACCTTCACTCTACACTGCTCACCTCACCACCACCCTCACCCCACCCTTTCATCTCTTGTTATTATCAGCTTCAGCCCAGAGGACAGTGCGGGCAGATTTCACCCACAGATTCATTTATCTGTCATCTGCCGGGGTGTTGCCTCTCACTTCTCCCGTCTTTCCGCCCTCTCCAACACCCTCCACACATCCTTCTGTCACTCTTCTTTCTCTCAAATGTCTTCCTTCCCTCTTCCTGCCGCCACACACCCGGTGCTGAAAGAGAGGGAGAGAAAGAGAGAGAGAGAGAAGACGAGAGATAAACACTTGGCATGATGGCAGCCTAGAATTAGCATAGAAATGGAAGTTTGCAGTCATTCCCAAGGTTCAGATGAGAAGCTCTCATCCTCTCGGCTCTGGACTGTGAGCAGGATAGAGAAGCACCTCTGCATGCATACGTCTTGCATACATGCATATGTAAAATGTTTAAAAAACTTAGGGATGAGCAGAAGCAATTTTCAGCACAATACTTAAAAATAAAAATAAAAATAACTGCATCAGACTGAGCAAAAAAGCAAAGTTGAACATCGAAACTCGAATACGATCCAAAAATAACAGTGTAGTACAGTATATGTTGTTAGATTTGAACTAACCTTTAATATGAACTTCTCTACATCATGACAGCAGTCGTGTGCATGAGGCGTTTATACATGGTTCTTACTACGACATCTAACACACTTTTGAATCTGTATTACACTTTGTATTGGATGTGTTCATCCCTTGCGAAGTGTGTTGAAATGGCCCCACATCCCTACTCTATGTTCTCTTTAATGGCAGATGTATTTCAATAGAAACCAGTCTGAGTACTAAGTGCCTAACCATCACAACCCAACCTCTCAAAAAATGCATCCTGCTCGTGAGCGCTGATATCAAATCTCCTTGTTTTGCTTCTGTGATGCGTTGTTACTGACGATACTAACTGGCTGCCACGGTCTAGTCCAAGTTTGACCATGGCAGAGGGAAGCACACACACCCGTACATGTGAGTGGAATCTAGCGGTGCAAACACAGCTGAGTCACATTAAGTATCCTTATTGGCATGTGGTGCCAGCTTTACTCTTATGGAGCCTTTGTGTGCAAGTGTGTGTGAGAGTGTGTTGTTTGGCAAAGGAACACATTTAGTTCCTGCCTTTCCCCAGTTCCTCGCCCCAAAGGAACAGTAAAGGGAAGCTCTGTCTGCGTGTGCGTCTGCTCCGTCTGACTCGTGCGCTTGGACTTGTTTTTCTTTGGTTTGGCAATAGGAACACACACACACAATTTCCTAGTCTGAACCCTGCTCTCCTTCTGTTTCTCCTCAGGAGGTGGTGCTGTACTGTCTGGAGAACAGAGTATGTGAGGTGAATCACAGAGACTACGCGGGTTACTGTGCTCTTCACGAAGCGTGCGCCCGTGGCTGGCTCAGCATAGTTCAACACCTGCTGGATTATGGCGCCGACATCAATTGTAGCGCACAGGATGGGACCAGGTAAACAAGTGCACTCAGACTCAAACACGGAAACAGAAACCAAGCCTCACAGAAATCATATGCTTCATACACAAATAAGACCAAAGGCTCTACATGGAAGCCAAGACTTGACTTGGGGAGAAAGAAAGAGTAATTTGAGTGCTTGGTAAGATAGGAGATTTGACAGGTTAGATGCTGTTTTAAATGCATAACCCTGAGCGCTTTAATAGCGGTGTATTAAATTTACAGTAGGGTGTCTGCTGCACTCAGGTCCTAGGGTTGTATTGTGTAGCCGTTAAGCTTTTATTTATTAAAAGCTTTAGCAGATAGTATTACAGAACCCAGGTTGGGTATTTCATGAGAAGAAACAGACCCTGATAAATCTTTACATTTCATTGGCAGCTAGGAGGAAGTGAAATCCCTCAGATTGTACGTTGTGATTGTAAACAACAGAAGAGTAAGGTTGTTAGATGTATCACTTTGTAATTGTTTTCTTACTTACTAACAGCTAACGGATCAACCAGAATTTGCCCAATAATAAAAATAGACTATAGCAAAGTCAGACATACTTTTAGGTAAACAATCTCCCACTGCTAATTACCGCAGCTTAAAGCAGCTTTAACTGTTTGTGGACGACTGACTTTGTCAATGTTTTTTCCCACTGAGTCAGCATCAAAGTTAATGTTCATGTGTATTGTTTCAGACCCATTCACGATGCTGTGGAAAACGACCACCTTGATGTAGTGAGAGTCCTGCTCTCCTACGGTGCCGACCCGACTCTGGCCACATACTCTGGCCGTGGCCTCCTCAAGATGACCCACAGTGACAGCATGGAGCGCTTCCTGACTGGTGAGATCCACAGCTGACTTTTTCAGTCCAGTCACATGTACTGCTTTGGTGGGGAACTTATAAAACACACAGGTCATGGGCGTCCCCTGTGGACATATTCAAAGAGTAGTGTGCAAAAAAATAAAATGGACTCTCTGTGTGATATCTTGGCTGAAAAAAGCTTTCCCAGACATTTAATACTTGGGTTTATCTTGCCAGCAATGTCTTTTGAAAAGACTGAAAACTGAATCACTTTTTCACTTCAAAGCAGCAGCTGCAAAACACACAAATACATCTTTTAAGAAGCTTTATTTCGAATTTGTGAATTGCATCGTAGGTCAAATTAAATCCAGAGAAAAATAACATGGGGGCAGGGGGGGACAGCGGGGGGTTGACTCTGTCCTCTCTTTAGTATTTAAGAGGATGGCTAAAATGAACTGATTTTTGTAGTTTTCAAGAGCTGTTGGACAAAGTGACACAGACGTTCATTTGGGGGCCATGATTGAAAATTGTGACTCAGGTTTTATAAACTCAATGTGTTTTACAGGGACATTAAAAACTATGGTCATGGTATAAATCAGGATATTTTCACAAACTCCAGGTCTAAATTTGAACTCATCCATGAGGGCTGGACACAGCTTGAATATACAAGTCACATGCTGCTGTGACATTGACCTGATTTAAAAACTATAATTGGTGCTGGGATTTTTGTGTCCACACAGCCGAAGAGAAATTCAGTTCTGAGTCACTTTAACTGAAAAATGTAGTTATGAGTCACTACAGCGTGGTAATCTGATCGTAGCTGCGATGGCACGTTCTGCACTGCTCAGAGAGGTGGGCCAAGGGTAAAAAGTAAAAAAATAAATACTGGTCTTTAGGGCATACATTCAGCTCCTAAAGGCCACAGTCTTCTTGTGTTTGCCATTCTATCTCTGCTTTGCCCTTTGTTGGCACCAGTCCCTCCCCCTTTTTTTTTTTTTTAAATCCTGCACCTCCCCACTGCCACTAGACATTTCCGTATCTGTCATCCCCTGCTCTCTCCTCTGGACCTGAACCCTCTCCACGGCCCTCCCTTGTTGACCACCTGTTAGTCAGGCAGCCTCAGCCCGTTCGGCTCGTGCTGCTGCTGCTGCTGCTGCGGCTGCCTCTGAGCTCCTCTATCTGGTTACTAAGCAACGCCAACTGTGTTTGCTCAGCGTACGTGTGGAAACTGGCCTCACTCTGGCCGGAGAGACTCTGCTTTTGTATGCGTGCTTGTGTCTTTTCATGAGGCTGCCACGCAAGGGTCTGACGTGGACTGTTCACAGTCCTCATCTGGATGTTTGTAGTTAAACTGACACAACACACACACACAGTCTCTGAGTGGAGGAGTGGAGGAAATGAAAGCTTACACAGGCGCACACTTCCTTTATAACCAGCAACCCGATGTTACATGAAAACATGATGATGTGAGACTTTAGTAAGAACAAAAAAACAGGGCTGAAGGCAGCAATAACTAGACTGTGCTCCCTAACTGTAGAGCATTGATCTGTATGTTATAGAGTTCAGGATAAGTGAATGATGTGTTATTTTGTTCCATGAGCGTGGAGAAAAGTATGGACCTAGACATTCAATGTAATTTCAAGTGTTTTCTGGGGCGAAATGAAAGCTTACACAGGCGCACACTTCCTTTATAACCAGCAACCCGATGTTACATGAAAACATGATGATGTGAGACTTTAGTAAGAACAAAAAAACAGGGCTGAAGGCAGCAATAACTAGACTGTGCTCCCTAACTGTAGAGCATTGATCTGTATGTTATAGAGTTCAGGATAAGTGAATGATGTGTTATTTTGTTCCATGAGCGTGGAGAAAAGTATGGACCTAGACATTCAATGTAATTTCAAGTGTTTTCTGGGGCTAATCTAAGGTCACTGCTGAGCCATTTTGCTTATTTAGCAATTTTCTTTAATTCACATCCTAAAAATGTGGGGTTTCTTTTTTTTTTACGAAAGACAAGACAAATTCTGTTACGACTTCTCTGTGATGTTGTTCATCAATCTTCATCATTATCTGTTGGTCTATGTCTGTTGATAATCAGCCCCTGACAAACCCTGACGGAAAAACAAGTGAAGTGAACAGGTGTGAGCCAACTCTGAGTAAATGGATGAAATGGTCTGGGGAGATTTATACAAAGAAAAATTGTGTTGAATTTTGGGAGTGGTCAGGAGAGGATAGATAGATCGATGGCTGTGTGACTGACAGAGTAAGGAGATAGCGGGGAAGCGAGATTGAGCACCGGAGAGAATGGGTGAGAGACGGAGATCGCTGCCCTCCCTCCACCTGGCCCCACTCATCTAGAGGCCGTTAATCCCTCCCCACACACGCCAGACACCCCGCGCCTCAGCTCTGGCACAAAGCCCAGCTCTCTCTTTCTGCAAGAGTGTGTGTGTGTGTGTGCGCGCGTGCATGAATGTGTGTGTGTCTGTGTCCTGGATACACACTTTGCTCCTGCTGGGTGTGCGCTTATCCAGCTCCCTCTGCTTGTTTGTTTCCAGCCCTCTCGCTCTGTGTGGTGTGTGTGTATGTGTGCACTTGTGAGTGTGTGTTTGTGTGCGCTTGTGACTGTTTGTGTGTATGGATGCGTGTGTGCAGGCAGCGACTGTGTGTGGTTCTTGTTTGATTCCTGGCAGCTCTGCTCTGAGCTCAGCCAGCCCTAACCCAGCAGAGACAGTCGCTCTCCTCCCCCCTGGTACAGCCGCTGGCCCCCGACCATCATTCCCCTGACACCCCCCCAACCACCCACCCAACCTCACAAACATTTGCTCTGTTTGTTTCTCTTTTCTCCCCTGACACTGGCCCTCTTTCTCCACCACTGCTTCACTGTGCTCTTATCCATTTTTTTCTGCTGTAATCTCCAAGGGCAATTGGTGTTTGCCCTATTTGCCTGTTGCCTGTTGCCTGTCCCCAGGGTGCCAGTTCTTGAATAACTAAATTTGTGCCTCTCTTGTCTCCACAGATTATTTTGCTGACCTTCAGGGACGCTCAGATGACGACCCAGGGCTTTACTGGGAATTCTACGGCAGCGCTGTGTGTGGTGAGTACCTTGGTTGCTAATATTAATTCTTACAACTTTTTTTATTCTGCTTTACTTTTGTCCCACAAACTTAGTGTCTAACTGGACCGACTCATTTCACTTGGCCCACATTTGGCAATGACTTTAGGGCCTTTACTGGCCTACATCTGGTCAACAGCTATGGTTTGAGTTTGGCTGACATGTGGTCCACATTCTGGATTACATCTGAGTACCAGATGTAGACCACTAAAGTTACTCTTTTATTCCGTGTAATTCTATTCTATACACATATAGCAAAATTAGCTAGTAACAGCGCATGCAACCTGCTTGGACAACATACAGTAATTATGGTAATAACAGGCAGTTAGTGGCCCATATCAGGTGTTTAAAATCTGGTTTAGAAACTGTAGCCAAAGCTGGCCCTCCTCTGGCTGCATGTGGACCAGAAATGTTCTTCTGGCCCAACATAGAAGCATATGGCTCAGGGTCTGGATACCATGCTACCATATGTAGACAAAAAAAGGCTCATAAAAGAAAGCTTATTGTGGGACAAGTGACCAGGTTGCTATCTAGTTTTTAGAAATATGTCAGGATACATCCTGTTAGCCAGTGATGAAGCAGATGGTCTCTAACTGGCCCATGTGTGCGTGTCTCATGTTTCAGAGTCATATGAAGAAGGCAGGATCTATGACATACTGGCTGACCCTCCAGGCCCCGATGACGAGGATGAGGACGACAAGAGGGAGGTGTTTGAGTTTGAGTTCTCGGACCGACCTTTGCTGCCTTGCTACAACATCCAAGTGTCCCTTTCCCAAGGGTAAGCTTTGATTTTTAACTAAAAACCCACCAATGTCATTTATTTACCTCACTCTTTGCCATTTATTTCTTTATTTAATAGTCGTTCATTTTTCTCTCTCATTCCCTTTCAGTCCGAGGAACTGGCTCCTTCTGTCTGACGTGCTTCGCCGGCTGAGAATGTCTGCTCGTGGTTTCCGACAGGCATTCCCCCACATGGAGGTGGTGACGGTGGCAGAGGCAGAGTTTTACCAGCAAGCCTCTCTGTCTCAGCTCTTCTCCTGCCCTGAGGAGCTGGAGGGCTTCCATCCGGACAGCAAGGAGCTCTTAGACCTAGTGGAGGACAGTGCCGAGCTGGCCGCCCTGCTGGGCTCCACACTGGAGTGTCTAGACGACCGCTGGGACCACCCAGGGGACAAACTGAAGGACAAAATTAAGGCTGCTGCGAAGCTGGGCTCATCCTGACCCCTCGGGGAAACTAAAACTGGACTTTAATCTTTACTGACTTTGCTTTAAATCCACCCAGGGGTCATGATGATATGCCTTAGCCTGACTATTAGCTCCTGCGCTCTGGTCCTGCCCTGAACGAGCACTGGTGCACTTGTACTGATGGATTGACCTGCTGGCTGAATGGGCTGCTCAGATATTTCCCTCCATTAAGCGAGGATCAATAAACGTGTGACTGAGTTAGACTTAATAATGGTCTTATTTTTATAAATTAATATATGTATAACTGAATAATTCTATATGGATATCTAGATTTGTTTCTTTCAAAAGTTGCCCCCGACACCTCTGAAAGATTTTTCTAAAAAACAACGGAGTGCTGTTGGCCTGTGTGGGCACACTGCACATTGTTCATGTGTATCTGTACAGGATAGTACTCCGACTGTGCTATTGAGTGTGGTATTTGTGTTTATAGGAAGCACATGATGTCCTGCTTTTTCCCCCTCTCTCCTCAGACTTCAGCACTGGCTCAAGCCTAAGGGGCTGACCTGTTGTATCTTTTTGTTGTTTTTTTTTAAAAATGCTGAGATGTTGCTTCCTGTTCGGCCTGTAATTTAACATGGCAAAACTACAAAAAGTGTTTGTACAATAAAAGTTTTAAGATAATGTTGATATTCATCCTGCGGCACAGAGCTTGTACATAACAGGGGAAGGCTACTGCAGTAAAGTAAATTTTTGGTGTGTTCATTTTTGTTTTAATTTTGTAATTAAAAATATCTCATAATTTGTATTTATATTTTACAAAAGACGTTGCTTTAAAATAAATATACAAACTGCAAGATGACAACCCGAGTCCTGCTCGTCACTGCGTCCTTGTTGCGACTTGAAATGAATTTTGATCAATTTTGCTGGCGGCTCTGACATTAAAATTTCCGTCCTAATTATTCCAGCCAACGCGACCGCTGAGGGAGCACTAGTAAAGCCCAACATTGCCATCTTTTGGCGTGTTTCACTACTGCAGGCATGATGCAATCTTGCTGCGGTCTCAACTTCAGAGCCGAAATGTAGTTTCCGTGCCGTTTGTGCAGAAAAATGTGTATTGTAGCGCCCTCTTGTGTCCCAATGACGGAGACCCGATCATCCAATTGATAATTTTGTTATTGAGTACAGTGTGTACTTACGTTTAGATGCAATATGAAAAATGTATGCGAAAATGTTTAATTTCAATTTATTTTTTATTATAAAATACATATGGCAAAAAAGTTGTTTATATGGTTGCACAACAACATTCTCACCTTTTGATTTATACAACAATTTGATGTCTAAACGAAGTTGTCATATAAAATATAGAGGGATAAGTGTAGACTCAGACTAAAGCACATTTGATCGCCTTATAATCCCCACTTTGGAGTGGGAGAGGGGATTGGCCACTACGGCTTATTGGAGTCCCACTTTATTCCGGCACATTCACTGTGTACTTCATCTAAATTGGTCCTTTATCTTTGCTTGTAAAACGTCAGTAGAGAAGAAGTGGACTTCAGAGGCTGCAGAAGATGTAAACAAAAATGATGATTGAACTGAAGGCAAAACCACACAAACCAAATAAACTAAATTCCCTGCTGCCATACCTGCAGAGAGAGAGAGAGAGAGAGATAGAGAAAGAGAGAGAGAGAGCTCCGTGGCAGACGGCCAGACACTGGGATTTTGGCTGCTCCACAAGCAGACAGTGGAGCTTTAAAGAGGGGACACGGGAGATCAAGCCCCTTAGGGCGTTAATAAAACCCTGGATACATCCCTTTAAGAATGAGTAAATGCAGATCAAAGTCTGGCTTTGTGTAAAAAAAATACCAAGAAGTCACATCAATCATCGCCATGTCAGCCTCCATGTTCAAGAAGGCTACACATTAACATACCTGGGCACGTAGCCAGTGACCACCGTGGTCACAAACTGGTCTCGGCGACTGTGTCCAAAAGGCAGGTAGAAATCGTCTATTGCTGACTTGGAGTTCAGTGAGATGCATGAAGTGTTAGGAAAAATTCTAGGTTCGCGTCCAGAATTGTGATTTCACCACTGTTTGTATTATCCAATTTCACTTCATCGGTTGGGAAACTATAATTTATTTGCTGCAAATAATCTGTCATCGGTTATGTAGACAAGTTTTATTAAATACCAATTTAAATTGTTTAAACTAACAGTACATACAGCAAAAAGTTAGCAAAAGGTAGGGTCATCATATTTTAAAATAAAAGCCCCTGAAAGTATTAAAGTCCAACCCTAGCAGCTATTATTGTTTTCCTTAGGTAGTTAACAACAATAGTTAACAATTTAAATGTATAATTATACTAATGTGAGATAAAGAATTAGTACATTTTACCTTTAGAAGCTAGTTTTTTGTTTTGTTTTTTTGTTATTTTTCTTCAATGTTATACGTCAGACCTACGCTACGCTCCACAGCGTCATGACGTCAAGTCAGCTGATCTTTGCAGGAGAGCAAAGAAAGATGTCGCCGTCAAACTGTCCAAGGATGGAAGCGGGGTTTTCCGTGGCGTTTCTCCTCTGCTGCTTGATTTCAACCGGTAAGGAGCACTCAATGACAGTGACATTACAAATTCAGTTATTTGGAGGTGTAGTATTCATAACATTTGTTTTCTGTATTTTAAAACATTAAATGGTCGCTCTATTTAGCCGTCTAGTGTCGTCGTTAGCAGCGTCCTTTAGCTTGAGGACCGTGTCATATGTTTGCCCGTATGATGTCGGCTTGACATCAATGACAATAGCAGAAATAACATTTTGTAGTGAAATTGTGTATATAATAATCCGACCTTTTATTTATTTTAGGATTAGTTTAGAATCCATACGTCTCGGTTAAAAAGAAAAAGCCGATGCACTATGCTAAAACCGGTTAGCAGACCGTAAAAACTACTTAGTGGCGTGAATAGAGTCAGCTTTGTATTGCCAACTGTATTGATATATATAGTTGTTTTAAAATACTCCAATATTTAAAAAACGTAGTAGTTGAACAAAAGAAGTTTAATTTTCAGAGTCATGTGACTGCTACTTCCTCTTTGACATTCATCGCCACTTCCCAGTCACGGGTTCATGCCTCCGTCCGAATCGCTGGGTAATTTGTTACAGTATACTGCACCCGTGAAAATCAGTCCGTGTTTTTCAGACACAGTGACACTGTTTTTCATACTAGAGATCCCTCTTCCTTTTATTTCAAAATAGCAGCAGTAAAAGGCCCGAGAAATGTGTGTTAATCAATAACAATCAATATTATATATCTCTACATAACTCATCTACATTGCCCTGTAAACACATTATATAAGCTTACGTTACAGGACTGAATCACAAACCACCATAGACTTCTGTAAATCAAGACTGACTTGTGAAATAGCATTCAAGCTAATTTTTTAACCAATGTGAGATTTCTGTGTGAGATGTATGTCTAATATGGCTGACCAATACTTGCTGAAACAGGTCACTTGTAATTTTCTCCTTCAGGTGTCAATGGGGACAGCTTCACTGTGCTCCAGGCTCCAGAGTTCGTGTCCTTTCAGAAAGGAGACTGGCTTGTGTCAGGAGAGAAGATCCCTGACCTGGTGGCTTTGACTATGGGCTTCTCTGTTCAGGAGGTGCTTTGTTACAATAAATATTTGTATTTAGTTTTTAATTTTAATTAATTTTCAACAACTCAGGTTAATGTGTTTGAGCTAGTCTTTATGAAAAGTGTGGTATCTCTTGTGCAGGATTTGTCCTGGCCAGGCCTTCAGGCTGGCCCATTATTCCAACGACCTCGGGCTAATGTACTGGTGGTGGTGAGAGGAGTCGATAACCTAGAGCTGCCCCAGAGTGTGGCCTCTTACCCATTGGAAAATGTAAGGAAGACTATACTTGATAAATATTTGCTTTGTTTTTTAAATAACAAAATAATAGAAACTGTTGTTCATGGATGATGTTTTCATCAAGCTGTCTTTTTTGCAGCCTGTACCTTTCACTCTGGACAGTGTTGCAGAGACAGTCCACTCTCTGTTTGCCGAGGACACGCCTGTAGTGCTCCAGTTGGCCCCTAGCGAGGAGGTGTGAAAACACAACTAAGATTTAACTTGGCAACACATTTTTAAAACTATTTTTGATATAATTTTGAATTTATGGATGTCTTTTCTTCAGCGGCTGTACATGCTGGGAAAGGCTAATGCAGTGTTTGAGGACCTGCCAGTCACTTTGCAGCAGATTCGTGCTCGTCTGTCCCAGGACGGCTCTGTACTGACGTCGCTGCCCCTCAACTCTCTCAGCAGAAATGCAGAGGTCAGTTTCTCTGTGATTTAAAAACCTCTCTGTGTTTCCTATTTAATTATAGTAGCTTCCAGGATATTTACTCCTCTAGGTAAACGATATTTTGTTTTGAAGGAGTCAAAATTGCAGCCCCATCCAACAGGGGGATCCAAAGTTAGAGCTCTGACAGCAAAAATTGGGTACCTTTGGACCTTAAGAAGCTGTTTAATAAGTCTGGCCTGAGAATCTAAGGTGTATGCTAGGCTCACAACTGAGAAGCAGTTCAATAATGTTGGAATTGCTTTAAATGTAAACAGATAATTCTTCCAATTAATTCAGAAATAATAAATAAAGTAGAACAATTTGGGTTTAACGCTGGGTCATACACAGTAAGATTGTTTTTGCTAACTACCTTTAGTAGTGTATCCCTTAAATACGCAACACTTGACATCACCTCTATTATGACTGTTCTCATGTGTTGTTTTGCTTTCCAGGCTGATTTACTCTTCTTGTCTGAGGTCCAAGTTCTCCATGACATCACTGCTCTTGTAAGTCAGTAAGTTTTTATTTCACTGAAGGTGGTGACAGACTTTTGGATTTGACATTGTTTTCTGCTTTTTTTTGTAGCTACAGAGGCACAAGCATTTGGCCAAGGACCACTCACCTGACCTGTACTCACTGGAGCTGTCCGGTCTGGAGGAATTAAGCCGACTCTATGGAAAAGACTCTGCTCAGTACCGAGATGCCACAGCCATTCTTGCCTCTGTTCTGCAGAAGGTGTTGAGACATTCTTCAAATGCCAGATCTTATTATTGAACCTTTCTTAAATGACAAAACTCACCACTGGTGTGTGTCTTTTAAATTGCAGTTCGGGGAGGATGTATATGCACTTTATGGCAACAGTGCTGTAGTGGAGGTTGTGACCGTGAAGACTTTTGAGGCTCCGTTAACCAGGAAGTCCCGTTCAATCCTGCAGTCCAGACAGATCGTAAGTCTATGGAGGAGCTGCTTGTTAAAGTTGACCAAACTGAGTCGTTAGTTAATCCAGCTGCAGCTGTACATCACAGCATTGAAATTGAATTTAAACTCCTGCCTGCTTATGAGTTAAAACAGAACATTGGAGACTAACTTAAGTAACGATTCCAGTGTAAACTCTTTTTTTTTTTTTTAAGAAAACCAGAGGTCAAAAACCTCCACTGGAACTCATTATGACTTAACTGTTGAGCGGCCCCTTGTACATCAAGAAGATGTAGCCCCAGTTCATGCCTTTTTTTGTTGTTTTACAATTGAGGTCTGGAACTGGGGAATGCTTTGATCACTCTTTAATGATAAGGGGAAGGGGAATGAGGGTGAGGAGGTGAAGGGGACCTGCTGAGAAAGTCTTGCAGAGACAGCCCTGACATAAAGGTTTATTACTATGTCCACTTTTCAATATAAAGTTTATTTGTGCATCATTTGCCTAGATTCTTCATAAGTACTTTAAATCAACCTGTGAAATACTGATTTTTTTTTCCCATTTCTCATTCCCATTTCAGGGCAACACACGTAGTCCATACAACCTGGCCTATAAGTACAACTTCCACTACGCTGTGGTCTTCAACATTGTCCTGTGGCTAATGATCGTTTTGGCTCTAGCTGTCATTGCAATCGCCTACAACCTGTGGAACATGGATCCTGGCTATGACAGCATCATCTACAGGATGACGAATCAGAAGATCAGGATGGACTAAGTCTTGATCACCAACACTCAAGATCAGATTAGATCCCTGTAGTGACTGTTGTTTTTTTCCCTGTGTGAGGTTTACTTAAGTGAAACAACAGTAACAAGTTGATGGTAGAGATTCAGAATCACTTATTTGTTTACATCACTGACGCAACACAGGAAAAATTGACAGCGTCTTATTGTTATATTTAATAAGTGATGCGATATTGCCCTTCACTGATCGGTACACTGAACCACGTCACATTTCCTCATTCATTTGCGTCAGATCACATCATTCCTTGTGGTTTTAAGTGATCACCAACAGTGTCTAATTCCTTCCCTGCCCTGGTGATTGCAATTGTATTTTTATTGTGTAAAAATAACTGTGTTGTAATGTCATGAAAGAGATTTGTTTTGTTTCTGTGTGAAGCTGTGCTTATCACAATGTGTGAAACTGTTAAGTTAAATCTGTGTGTATATATTGAAAATACAAATGCATCTCTATGACAAACTGCTGTATTCTTATTGTGAGAAGTGTGTAGTGTTGTATTTCAGGTTCATCCATGTTTATGGCTTGTACTTTGACAGTTAAATATTAATTTGAGTATGTGATTGAGATGACGGATATCAGAATTGGCCTCAGATGAATAACGCATTGTAAATCTCTATATTATGCTTGAAAAATTTAAAACACCATTAAAGTAAATATTACCCAAAAAGTGTATTTGAGTCGCCCTCAATCAGTGCGTTCGTTTCTTTGACGTAGCAGTGTAATACTTGGCCTACGCCACAAGAGAGCGATGTCAATCACCACTGTACGGTGGCAGCCAATCTGACCAAAAGTCAGCTGGCAAGATTTCGCGCTGCATTCCTAAAAAGGAACATGGAGGAGGAAAAAATAGCCTTTGTATTGTCCATAACAGAAAGATACATGTACTTGACATAGTTTATGTTAATAGTTATCCAGTACTGTGGTATCTATTTATACATATACAGTATATATTTTTCTTCCCCCGTTGTAACAGTTGGAATGCTTTTGTTAAGCCACAGCCGTTTTTTTCATTTGCCCACATCTGCAAGAAGTCAGATTTTCATCACCTGCCACTCTGCATTCCAGAATGTCGGACAATTATAGAGTGCTTTGTCTTCTCTAGGCGCAATTGGTCGTTGCAAACAAGTTTTTGAACGTACCTTGAACTACCTTTAGATGTGTTTGTATGACAAATCCGTATCTGTATGAAGTGAATGTATCACACTTCAGTTTTATGTAAAACGTTTAGTCATTCATGCGTTTATGGGGCACAAGTGGGTGTTGAGCAAACTGTTTAAAGGCACTGGATGAAACGCCTCGATTTCTTTTGCATTTTATAGGATTTATTTTAAGACCTTGAATATATTGACCTCATACATTGTATCACTTCTATTGAAACATTTCACCACCAATGCACATAAATATGCACTCTCATTCTACAAAATCGCCTTAAGAAATTACGACCAGCGGAGGATAGTCACAAAATATATGTTAAGTATCGGGTGTTAGTCTTATTTTAAATACTTGGTCAACTAGAAATTTACATATTGTTTGTTTTCCCCATTTGTTGATACATGTCAATAAACGTTCCAGAATTTCCAGTTTAATTGCGCAACAACTCAACCAATCAGAGTTAAGATATCACCACCAAAGCCCCGCCTTCCGTTAGATTCTATTGGATGTGTTTTTTGCGCAATCGAAGATACCGTTTACGTACTTAAACAACCTCTACACGGAAGTGTTTTTAAACTACGATTGACCTGAGAACCAGTAAGTTACTCAACCCTCCATGTGAGAGACCAAACAAACATGGTCTGACTGATAATAAAAGGTAGGTTTCTTCTTTTTTGTGTCACTTTTCTGTACATAACAGCAGCTGACCGCGCCTACGGTTTTTTTTTTTTAGAAAATGATACGACGTTGTTTTTTTTTGGTTCCTTTGTTTGGATCCTAACGCTTGTCGTCCATGATAATAATAACAATGTTAATAATAACGCAATTGATATAGAGAAGTTTATACAGATAATAAAGTCTATTTTATGCAGCTCTTCACGTTACATTTGTTAGAAAATGAACATAAACTATACCAATAAAAATATTCAAGAAGCGTCACCATTAGTATGAACTGTTATGACATTTTACAACCCCATCAGTTGTGTGCAAGAGGTGTTTTTTGTAATAATTGACCTAAACAAATTATCTTTATTCCAGCTGGCACTTACGTGGTGAGGAAGATTCGTGGTGTTTTCTCCCAGGAGGAGCAACCCGAAGAACCCATCACAACACCATGTAGTGCTAAAGGTAAATAATACATTCTCAAGACTGGTATGACGTATGGACTTTACCCAGATCAAATGCTTTATTGACGTTTTATAAAAATGAACATTGACTGACTAAAATCATGAAACAACAAAAAAATAAAATAGGGAAAAAACATTTCAAGACAAGACAGTGCTGGCCATAAAGACACAACAAATGATTCAAAATGGTCAAAACAAACAAACAAAAAACATAGCATGATCATAATGGAATGTCACTGATGAAAGTAGCATATTGTCCTATTATAACATTCATGGCATGCCACTTTACTATTCGTGGCAGACCTCAGAGCAAGTAAAGATAAGCAGTTGGCAAACAACAATTACAAACATAACAAAACCAAGCAACATGTCATAAGGTTAATATTAAATAGCACACTGTTTACTTATAAAAAAGAGACAAAATATTGCCATCATTTTTTTTAAACAAAAGCTATTGGTAAAAACACAAAGTAGTCATTCTGGGAGCAATTGTTTTTCTATTAGTCCGAGCAGTTGTAATAGTTGCGTGCTAGTCCAACTGGGTGTGACAGCACAAGCGTTTTATGGATTGAACTGGAACTCAAAGCAACACCTTTTTTTGCTGTGTCATTGCCTAGTCATTACGTTATATGAGAACTATTTGGATAAGGAATATGGGGAGATAATAGAACAAATGGATTGTGTAAGGACGCTTATTGGTCTTTCATTTTGTTGTCTCCTCTTCTTGTAGCTGAAAAGAAGGCTCTGCGCACATCCTGAGGAACGCCTCCAGCAGCTACACAAATGCCAAAATTTGATGAAGCTGCAGTCAAAAGGACATCCTCAGAGGTTGTTGCGCAGCAATCTCAAACTTGATGATAAGACTCAAGCTGGACTCTGGCAACTGTGATCAACTCACTGGAAGATTATCTTTAGCAATTCAAAACAAATTGCACTGTCATGGTTGACAGTACAAAGCCAGGCTTTATAATGCCAGTGATTATGATGATACATTCACTGTCCAGCTTGTTATGATTCACATGTTGGCCCCTTTTCATAGAAAACATTTAGATCAGAAAAACACATATTTTATATTAATATATATTTTACAAGTCAATAATTGGACAAAAATATTGATTGATACCCTTTGTTGGTCAAAGTGTTCTCTTTGAAAAAGGCCCATTATTCCATTCAGACACTGCAGTTTTTGATGGCTGACTCATAAATCTCTCTCCAGGGGCTGAGAAGGCCTGATGTTCATGCTGTTGTACAAATAAATGGATACAAATGAATTAACTCTGGTTAAATGCCTTTGTTCTAAGAAAAGAAAAAATAGCTATTGAGAAAAACATTAACGTAATGGTGGTTATATTTAGCTAAGACATACTGTATGCAGCATAAACAGAGTCCATTCGAAGTAATTATAAAAATGTACAGACAAATTCACTTTCACCAACAGATCATGGTGTGTTCTGAGTAGATCATTAACCCCAAACATTAGGGGCAACTAGATATATTTTGTAATGATAGAAACATTTTACAAAATATATATTTATTAAATATGTTTATTATTAAATATATAATAACAGCTATGACATTAAAGTGTATACAGTTAAATAATATTGCACATACTTGTTGGTTTTATGTTACCAATATTTGCCTTTTTAGTTAAAAAAAAAAAAGCGTTCGCGTTTGACGAACGGAACTAACAATCATTTGAAGCGAGTTTTACGACGGTGCACGTTGTGAACACCTCCTAGAATTTATGTATTTTTGTGGATGGCGGGGACATCTATGGTTGGTTTTTATTCACACCGGGACTGATGTGTTAAAATAACATGCTAATCCAGGAAAAGTAAACACTCAGGTTGGAATTCGATAGAGAACATACATAGTGTTTCGGTGGCGTTAATAATGTAACGCTTTTCCGGTTTACACCGGATGTTACGATAGGCAGAGGCGCCTGATAAAAACAATATAATAGAAATGTCTCGCTCTGAACCGGTGGTACTCCTTTTGGAACAAATAGCTGCCAACATTTATTGAGTTTGTTATTATATGGAGTGAATTCCTGACGTGAGGTGAGCGTTTGCTTAGGTATGTTAATTACATTACATTAACATTTCTGCTGCAGAAACGCGAGCACGGTTAGCACGGCAGGCTTCGTTAGCTAAGCTGATTTCCACATAATTTGAGTCGGAATGCATTGATAATATGCTAATTAATAAATGTTAGAGTTTTGCAGAACTATGATTTGGCTTTCGCAATACGAGTGTTCCGATTAAACAACACAGGCCGCTATCAAACCGCTTACAGACATTTTCTTCGGAGACAAAGAGAATTTCAAGTGGGGGCAGCTACTTTTGGCAAGTTCGTTTATTTACAGCAAACAATACATGTTGATTGACACAGATCAAATATGCGAGATTTTCTATATAATTCCTAATTTGTAAACATTGTAACTGAGTGTTTTTAATAATCAATCTAGAATGACCGAATCTATGTTATTGGAAATTGTTAGTTATGTTGTCAGTTGTTGAGGTTATCTGAAAGTGACGCAGCTCCTTTTTAATTTTTTTCCCCCTCAATACTAGTCTACGTAACATATTCGTTTTGGCCGTTTATGTGGCCTATGTATCTGTACACATTGCAAAAGAGTCAGTAACATTGTGCTGTCTACATATGTAGTTTTCAATATTTGCTACTATGCTCCAACCTTACCAATGCATATAGAAATACTATATTTCTTCGTTTAACATCTGCATTCTTTGCTGTCATGACTATAGAAATGATTAGGATAGATGTAAGAAGACGGGAAGAACTTACTGCTTAGATTAGATACTGACCACTCATCTACACATATGCACACTGTCAGGCAGAAGAACGACCACTCAGATGCCCCCTGACTACATTGTTAGAACACTTCATTAAAAGCTGCCCCTTGGTTGTTGCTCAAATGGTGACTTTAATGTTACTTTCTCAGTGTACTTGGTGTGCCTTACCATGATGGACCAAAAGAGAGCCTTAACTATTCCATTTAGTGTCAACAAGGACAACGAGGTCAACCTGGTAAGAGCTTTGTATTTAGAACTTTTAATTTGCTGAAATGTTTTCTTTAAAAACACCCATCCAAACGATTTGTATCTAATCTCTTGTATTTTATTATATGTTGTTGTTGTTTATATACAGTATCTAACTGCATTATTGTGAATGCAATTAGTAGTATTTGAAAATAAAGTTAATTTGATGTTTTGCAAACAGTTTATAGTAAATTGCTAATTTGCAACTACAGTTTCTTGCTGGACATTTACACAGTAAAACGTAGAGTATAAAAAACAACATGAGCAAATTAAACTAAAATATATCAACAATTTAATGCAATGTAAATAAACAATACTGCAGCTTTCCCTTTTTATTATGCAAAGTACTTTGAACAACAGATTTAACTCAAGGTAACTAACCAGCATGTAAAATGTAGATATGATACCCTATTGTTTAGTTGTAGTACATGTACAGTCCAGTAACCCCACAATATCAGCGTTAAATGGTTGAAAAGCTGTTATGGTTAATAATCCTATTAAAACAGTTCTATTCTCTTGAACAGGTTTCCTGGCCTACGTTGAAAGGTTCCAAATTCAGAAATCTTGATTCCCCACATATAAATGGATCCACACTCTTTGAGCAGGCAGCTATGATCGCCTTGGAAATGAACAGGTAACTTTGACACAATGTGCCAATTCATTTCCATGCAGAATGATACACCTGTTAACAGACTGTACTGTTGTAAGCACTAAGCTTGAAAATAATATTGCAAATCTTTAAAACATGGTTCAACTGCAGTTAAATCTTAAAACATATCATCACTCAGTTAAATTCAGTTGTACATTCACATCATTCTCTTGTTTTTACTCTGGTGATTTAACTCATTTAACATTTCCTCTGATGTTACAAGCCACACGTTTACCAGCTGTCTTATTGTTCGTCTCATAGTTTAATATTAACAGTGCCATATATAGATATAAAAATAATATAAAGGTTATGTTTGATTAGTTTAAGTCAGGGTTGGTGCCCACGGGGTATGTTCTAAAAATAAAACTAGTCAACAAGAGAGTCAAAAATTGTACTGTTACTGTGCTTTTTGAATCAGTTACACTTGCAATGACATTGGTAAGAAGAGTGTCTACTATTGTATGACCCAGAACTCATTTTTATTACATTGTTTGGGAAGTCTATATCAAACTCTCTTCATATTACTGTGTAAGTACCCTTGAAGTAGCTCTCAGTTTCAAAAAGGTTGGTGACCCCTGGTTTAAGTGGTGTTTAAACCCTCTCTGTTCATACTCTTGCTCTTTCTTTTTTTATTACAAAGTAGAAGTTGTCAAAATGTGTCATAGTAACCTTCACCTGTTCTGGAGGCATGTTACAATAGCTTACCTGTTGAAAACTATTTCTCAGATGAGAAACAAATACAGTTACACTCTTAATAAAATAAATTTGCTTGTAGCTGCCTAAAGACTTATCATGGCTGCACACATGTCTTATCTACAGTAGTCGACTCCTCCTCACTGTTACCAAGTTTGACCTGCACTGGTAGATGAGCGTTGAGATAGCTTGGTTAAATATTAAAGTAAGCTTAACCAATGAGATCACATTATTTTTTTCTTCTTGGTTCTTTAGGAGGAAAGCACGTTTAGTCCTCACAGATGTCCTCAAAACAGATGCAGGAATTACCTACTTGGAAAGGATGAAACGGAGCTACAAGTCAGGCGTGAGGGAACAAATGTCAACGCAAAGAGATGGTGGTTGCAGCAAAGAGAAGGCTTCTTTAACCAGGTCTGGTCAGGATGAGCTGAAGTGGGAGCACAGAAGTCCGACACCTAAACACAGCCAGAAGTCCACAGCCTCAACTCATACAAAGTAAGAAGAGACCATTTCTGAAGGAGAAAAACATCCTTTACTTGAAGCAAGTCCTGAATTTGAGATGTTTTTACAAGGTGTGGAAAAGTGCTAGTGTTAAAACTGTATTTCATTGCAGAGTCAACGCTTAATTAATTTATGGTTGGCTAAAGAAGAAAGAAAAGAAAGAAAATATAGGTACCTCTAATTACTGGAAAAAGAAAATTTCAGAAAACATAAAGAAGGCTAATAAAATACTAGATAAGGTATTTCATCAGCCAAAAATGTCTTTTTAATTTTGAAAACAAAAGAAACTGTTAACCATTAACCACAATATTTTAATGTGAATGTAAAAAAAATAGTTACCAGTTGGCCAAGAATATAGTAAAAACAATAAAATCTTCGATACAAACTTTTCAAAGTCAACTGAATGGACAGCAAAACTTTAAAGAGAAACTGTCCAAACCTACAAAACAGATAACATTATTATAAATAACATAAAAAAAGTAGGCAAAATGTAGTCAAACCAGCTGCCAAAGAGCTACAGCTTTGGCAAGAAAAAACAGATTTGCAAGCATTTGATTGTTAATGAGTCAAAATTGTAACTAATTTTCTTCAAAATGTTTAGTTGCTTAAGATAATTAAAAACTGACCCAACACTAGGTGTCAAAATAACATATTTTTACACTAAAGTAATTTCACCCTCTGGCTTTTTATCTGTTAATGGTAAAAATGACATTTTAATGAGGTTTGGCTGCAGCGGTTGTATCCTTGGCTGTTCTAATGTTCCAGGCAAGAAGCTGTGTTTTGTTTTGGAACAAAACCACATAGAAGTATTCCACAGGAGTAGAATTATTTCACAGCTTGAGATTCTGGTTTAGAAAAGCTCCATGGTTTGTGTTTGGTCATGGATATTTGAGTGTGATACCACATGAAGGCATGAACTGTTGTACTACTCTCTGTGGCTTTGTGAAAAAAAGAGAGTTATGTCTGCAGGTTGATTATTAAAGTCTTGTTTGTCTTTTGTGGTCAGATCCAAGTTCAGGAGAAAGCTAGACCTTGGCGACAAGGAGGAGAAGGAGGAAATCCCAACCAACGGAGAAGAATGCAGATTTGCTGAAGTTGTAGGTGGGTGAACTCTACCAAACTCTCTTCCAATTTAAACACTTCCAATTTCAGAAATTATTTGTTTTATCTATCTATCTAAATTTCAAACAGAACATTTTTACATTTAACATCAGGATGGGTAATATTTAAATCTGCACACAGAGTTTTTTTCTAGTGTTTTTGACAGTGGACGGATAGATGTACAAACAAATTCAAACCAAATTGGGTGTTGTGTTCCTCTTTTAGTGTCAAAACAGTGTGGTTTCAAATCAGAAGCAAGATACAGAAAATAAACAAATTAGAAATACACAAATTATTTATTATTATTATAATTATTATTAACAGGTCATAGTTCATATTAGAGCAAAAGTAAGATTCAAAGATCTTGGTAACAATATGTTAAAAGTATTGTTAAACTGTGGCTAATCAAAATTATGGAAAAATGGCAATGACATTGTATTTTCAATGGAAGCTCCAGTTGGACTTTTTCTACTTTCTCTTTGAAAAGTCTGTCCACAAAACGTATGATTAAGTCATTTTATTCCCCTGTTGTGGACATTTTACGCCACATTCCAGATGATGTTGGAAATGAAAGGAGCTGCTAAATTATTTCCTTTACTCAGTTATTCTGATGGTGATCATTGAAGCCTTGAAGCTTTGGTTTAATTCCCAAGAAGCAGGCAACTTAAATAAAAACAAAACTCTTCGTCTGACTTTGCTTGAAAACATGGTTAGTTTTTTGCAAGTCAAAAAAAAACCCAAAGAAAGTAAACACTGTGAATCAACAAACACTACACTTAGAAATATACAGTATACTATATATATATATCCATCTGTATATCTATATATACTTTATATCCATCTGTATATATGTATTTTTTTCATCATATTTTACTCTACTCATAAGTCTCTCTGACTAATACATTGTCTCACGTGTGTGTTGGGATGGTTGTTTCTCTCTGTGCAGACTGTGGGTTGTCGGTGAGATGGCAGCCTGACGAAAACATAGAAAGTTATAATGATTTTTCTCCGACCAACGTTAAGGACAAGTGGACTGATCCTGAAAACATAGTCAAACCCAGTTTGGTGAGTGTCTTATGATTAGAATTAGTTTTGCTTCCTGTGTTTAAAATGGGATTTTAAATACAGAGAAATGATCTGTTTCAACAAGAGATTTTTTTCTGCCTTTGAATACATTTTGGGACATTTGGGAATTATGAAAACCCTGAATAGTTAGCTATCATTTAGCTTTATATAAGAAAAATGTATGTTAAAATTGTAGTTATTGCTCTTTTTGGCTGTTTGTCAAATGTTTGGTTTTTGAGCCATTAAAAAAATTTAAATATTACCAGCTAAGCTTAATTTATCTTCTTTGCGATTAATCTAAAAATGAAATAATTAAAAAGAAACCAACAAACCAAATAATTTTGCTTTGTTGGTTTTTATTGAAATAAAAAAAACAAATGGTAAGCAGTTTTTGTGGTTATTCTTCTACTTCCTATGTAAAAACATTTAATTTTCACTTTTAAATGAAGTGAATTTTGTTACTTTACCTTCCCATCTGTAGATCATCATTGTTTTTACTGTATGCAACATCTGTGCTGATGAACACACCACGAACTGTTCCCTGTACTGTCACAGCACAAAAGAAAAAGAACTGAGACAAAGTCATATCCCATTGGTTTTGACATCCCTAAGAGACATCGCACCAGTGTCCTTCGCTTCACTGGAGAAGACGGATCAGATGGAGGACCTGTACCTGTTTCCCCAGAGGAAGCCTTAGGAAACAGATACTTGGACATGCTGGACTCTAGCATTATGAAATTCACCGTGGGTGGAGATGACACCGCACAAGTTCTGGTTCCTGTCATCGATTCTAACTTGGAGTTTGGGAATTTAAACGGATCCCTGAACAAATGTCTGTCGACAGCTCAGGAAAGGGAAATCAGAATGAGTGGCTGTACTGAACCAAGTGAGTAGATGAACATGGAGAATACACTGTTATTGTGTTAATCAAACATTTATAGATAATGACATTATTTACAACACTGTGTTTTAATAACGATTAATAAATAATACATTACACTATTGCACTCGACCCTGCAGTTGTCCATGAAAAGTTAGATTCATTAGACCAGTGCTTTTTTTTACCTTGGGATTGCCTGGAACTCAACTGGGGTTGATTGAAATGTTTAGAAGTTGATTAAAAAAAAATTATTATATGTATAATATTTTGTCATCTAATTATTATTCTTTTTAAATTTGTGATTTAAATACACCACACACAGTTGTATTCTTCAGTTGAAATAAAATGCAGCGTATAAAAATATGAGCTAGTGCACCTTGATTGACAGCTCTGGTCCTGTGGCTGCACCACTGACAGCTACTTGAGTTCCTGCGCTACACTGTATTTGTAACATGGTATAACCAACATGATCAAAAACTAATTTTAGAAAAAACAATCTCTATGGGGTCACCAAAGATTGAGCCAAAAAAGGTTGTGAACCAACTGCCTGTTTCATAGCTGGTTGAGTTTCGTAATGTCATGTCATTGATTTTTTGCATTTGACAATATAAGTAAGATGATATGACTTAAATTAAATGTCATTATTTTAAAGAGACGCACATAAATGGAGGTGTACAGCACATCCACTAAACCGAACAGCAGCTCATGTTTTGGTCTTAATCCCTGTGCTACTGCAAATGCAACATGGCCCTGAACATATGATTCTGTACATGTGTGCAGCATGAATATTATGTGGTGCAGTGTGACAGTAAATCAGTCTTGTTTACTCTTAGTATTAAATGTCTTTGAGTGTTTTTCCTCACTTTTCAGCTTTCTCCTTTTGGCTTCCTTATTTCTTGATTTATTGTCCAACACTTCACCAATAATCCACTTTTTTTTTCTTTGTGAGTTTGTCTTGGACCTGCTTATGTGTCCATGTGGTTGTGTGCACCTCAATTTATTAGCTGCTGCGATCACTTAATTAAACTGTCTCTTCTAGAATTACTGCAGCACACTACACCTCCCTGTTGGATGAATGGGCTCAGGGCAGTGCATATGCTTTCCACCTGCATTTCTAGGTAAAAAATGAAATCAACAACTAATGTTGTCTTTATTTCTTACATTTCAGTCGTGCTCTCCAGTGACGACGAAGAGAGCAGCCCTAGTCCTGAATCTGTCAGTACACTCGCTCGTCCACTAGTGGCTGGGGAGGATGAGTTACTGCAGGGACAGATGTCACATGAGGCTGTGACGGAGCCAAGTGATTCAGCCCTACAGGATGTGGAGGTCAGTGCGCTGTGTGTCTGTGTACTTGCCCATATATGTTTTCCTGGTCAGACTATATACATATCTGGCCCATGGTTAAATATCACCCAAGGGAACTCTGCCTATCCCTCACTAACTCAGTGATTGTCAACCTAAGGGTCAGGACTGCAGTGGAAAAGAAAAATGGTTTATCAATAAACAAAATATAATATACACTTAATAGAGGTCAGTCTATAAACGCTGTTATTGTAATGGTTTGTACTCATGATATCTGATCTCAAAATATTTTGCACTTTGTTTTCATTAGTGGGACGATACTTGGTGTTTATTTGACATATAACTGCTTGACATTTACAACTTGTGCAAACTAACATACACTTCCTCCATATCCATATTTTGTCTCAGAAAATTAATCAGAAGAAATTACAGAATCTTGTTGAATTTACTCCCCATTTAGATAATGGATGGATGGAATTTTAATTTAGTGTTAGGATGTCATTCCCTATTCTGACACGTGATGGCAGCAGAGGCAGAAATTTCCAATTCGTATACCTGTCTAAGATCTAAATCTAAGATTTAGATTCTAGTACAAATCACGAGTTGTATGATTTTTTTTTTGTTAACAAATATTTCGTGTGTATCGTGTGTAACAGGTGGTGCTTGTTTTTGTAGAAGATCCTTCAGATTCAGAAGCACGTGTGTCCATCGACAGTGTTGACAACTCCTGCATGGACATAGCCTTCTCCACCCTGCACTGTGGAGGTTACAGGGGAAAGGCTAATGGCGACATGATGGTAACTATGACTGAAGCATAAGACGCTCTTTATGCCGATCACAGGACTTGTTTATACACTGTATATGATCTCATTCTTTTACAGATGAGGGAGCATCATATCATCATCCCACTAAGAGGTACTGCTGCTCTTCTGATCCCAAAGTATTAAAAACTCCACTACTTTTACCACAACTAAATTAATTCACAGCCAATCACGCGATTTTTTTTGGATTTGGATAAATTAAATATCTACATAAAAATTAAGTAAATTAATGAAAATAATTGATCAATTGAAAAATTAAGAACCTACTTATGACCTTTGTATCATACTCTCCAAAGTCCTGAACCCAAATAAACCCTTCTTCTTCTGGACATGTAGCAACTGCACAACCTCCTCCCACAGATTAGTGGTCTATTTCAAGTGTGTGCGTGTTCATTGATCAGAGCCCTGAGGTCATAGAGCACCTTTGAGCCTGAAAAATCTCAGCATTAGGGAACGAGGTTTCTTCTGTTGGCTGTGTTTGTTTAACAGTTTTATCTAATATAAAATGGATGATGAATACTTTCACATACATTTAAGCATATTTTAATATATTTACTTTGTATATAACTAGTAGTGGTAAATGTAATTGACACAGGGCTGTAGTGGTCAGCACTGTTGTCTTGCAGCAGTTTCCATGAATTTGTGTTTGATTTCTTTACAGTTATTCTGGTGAACTGTGGTAGATGTAAATCATTGAACCACAGAAGATTAGTGTGAATCTGCAGGTCTAGGCGATGCTAATCTTTGAGCCTCTTCTCCACAGACACGAGCGACCAGGTCGACGTGGTATTAACCTTTGAACGAGAAGCTCTGAGGAAGTACAGCATCTGGGATGAGCAGGACATGGAGATGCAGGGCATCTTCTTTCAAGGCGATGAGGAGCTGTCTCCCCCTTCTGTCCTGTTGCTGTGTGTGTCAGACAATGCTGCTTGTGCATTGCAGCACGACCTCTGCAAACTGTCTATCAAAAAAGATGCAAATAATACCACTGGTAAGCTTACTGCAAATCTTTGACTGAGTTTGCCCCAGTATCTGGGGTCAATAGGTCATTTGTAAATACATTAGCACTTTAGTTAGTTTAATTAGCCTTTACTGTAAACTCTTTTTGTCCCTACTTTTATGAAACCAAGCTGTTCTGATGATGCACAGAGCGAAGATGGAAAACAGTTTATATTCTGATCGGTCAGGTTGAAACAGACATGAGAGCCTGTCTCTTAAGGAAGTCGGACCAGACTTTAAAGTAAAACTTTTTAAAATGATCCCTTCCTTTTAGTTTAACTTTACAGTTTTGTCGGTTTATTTTTTCTGGTTAGATTTGCAGTATTTTTGATGTTTCACACGATCTTTAAAGGAAATTTGCTCAAAATCCTTCTTTGTTATTTTTTTTAATAGGCCAGGCCAGTCCCATCATCCTGCTCACTCTGAAAAAACCGCAGGAGGGACTAGAGGGGGCTTTTCTGCGCTCCTTCCTGGATATTGACTGTCTAAAGGGTCTGACACATGAACCTTCTTTGTTAACCAATAATTCAGATAGGTTTAGTTTTTTAGAGGACGTCCACGCACCCTTTCTGTCTCTGGAAGATAGCATTAAACTGATCAGAAGAATTGGACGGGACTTGCACCTCCTGTCTCTGCTGGGCCTGGAGGACGTAGATGATTCACCCTCTCCGAAAGATGAAAACAATAGAGACAATTCACGTTTGGACAAACATGATAAAAACAATAGAGACGACACACAGGGGGATAAGGACAAAGAGGGCACACTTCACAAGTTGGTGGAGGTTACGCCTCAGAGAAAGTCGGTGTTGCAGCTGGAGACGGCGGCAGAGCAGGATGCAGAGATGCAACTGAAACCAGAGGAGACGCACGAAGAACAAGAGCCAGAACAGCCCCCAGAGGTAAGCGGTTTCCAACGTTCACTAGCTTTTCAACCCCTGAAAGTGAAGCCATGCAGAACTCATCAGAGGACACATCTGTTCATGGACATAACTGCTTTATTCACCTATTTCCCAAGCTATACTTGAATGAACTGACATTTCCAATGGAGTAAAATTGTGCAGATTTGCTCAGAAATTCAAGAAAACTAGAAAAATTTTAAAAACTCTGACTAACAGTACTGCAAGCCCTTTCCCTCCTGGTTAGATCTAGTCTTTTCTTAGATTTATTTTGTCCCCCCTTCAGAGTCACTGGTCTCCATGCTCCGCCAAAGTTAAATGATGACAAGGTGTTTTTTTCCCCTGATGACATAAATTTCCTTCTTCAGAAGAAGGCGTTGGAACCCACTCCTGTATACACTCTGTGCCATTGTAGAACCAAAGGCTCCTACTCCGTGTCAATGTGTAAACCAGACTCCAGCTGGACCAAATATAAACACCAGGGTCTGGCCCGCAGGCAAGTCACCTACATTATACCATGTGCAACTTCTCATGCAGCTTCTCCCACATGGTTTGGCATTAGGCTGTCGGTCAGGGAGCTCTGCTGCACTAAAGTTCACTTTGAGGAATAAGACTGTAGACTGCTACAAGAAAAACAAATACATACAGTGAAATGATTTTCCATTTAGCTTTGTTCTACATATATACAGTTTCATTTGGTTAAGATGTTCAACAGATGCAGCTGTGTTGTAGATTTCTATCACTTTTTAGATGCAGGACATTGTCAATGAATTTTGAGTCAAACTGCTTTGATTGTGTGACTATTAAGTGTTTTACACATTAATTGTTTTCCATTAATCCCCTCTATAAAATCTAGCAAAAATTAGATTCAAGAAAAGTTAACTAATTAATATCCTTTTTTAGGTTGATTCAGTTCCCTCCTCCACCTTTGAAAGGTGGAATAACCGTAACAATGGAAGACCTGCAGTGTCTGGACAACGGGCAGTTCCTCAATGATGTTATCATTGACTTTTACCTAAAGTAAGTCCCACTGTAAAATACATGCTGTGGCATATCCCATGGCTCACCACTGAAAAGAAATGTAATGACATCCAGTCTTCTAGATTTAATTTTCTCCCAGTTTACTTACTCAGTGTGAAACCTGTACCTATTTTGTTGAACACTTGATTCACATGCAGGGATTGAAGAAAGACACTCATGAAGGTCATCTTCACGGCTCTGAATCTCTCTTTTTTTTTTTTTTTTAAGACAATTTTTTTTAAGACCTTTCACCATGACATAAACGTTTTTTCACACTACACCTGATAATCTCTTGTGGCATAACAGTATACCATGGCACAGTGATTGAGGTATACACATAGTTTCCAGGAATAAAACTCATCATTGCCTTTTTGTGTTTTCCTTTCAGATACCTCCTCCACAACGCCTCTACCGAGGTGGCTGAACGCATCTTCGTTTTCAGCAGCTTCTTCTACAAACAGCTGACACGGAGGGACAACGCCAGTGAAGGTGGAGCAAGTGACTCGTGAGTAATGCAGCTTTAAATAGTACAGTTTGAAAAAGGTATTTATTTTGGACAAATCTGGTAAATTTAAACACGTTTTGTTTAACATAGATCCAAGTTACACTCAGAATGTTGTTACAAATGCTGTGTAATATTATCGCTTCCTAATGGGATTGCAGTGTGTGTGTTTGGCATTGTAGTTCCTTTTAAGGAACTAGTTATAGGAACTAGGGATATGTAAGTTAGGAGGACTGAAAATAATCTAAGAAAGGTTTCTTCAATATTTGTGTGACAGCTGTCAGAAGCAGAGGCGGCATCAACGAGTCAAGACATGGACTCGTCATGTGGACATCTTTAATAAGGACTTTGTCTTTGTCCCCGTCAATCAGGAGTGAGCTAAATTCTTTTAGAATGAAACTCTGTTTTCCATGCTGTTAGCACTTTATCATTTTTGATAATTATTTTGTATTTTTTTTGTCTAGATCTCATTGGTACTTAGTTGTGATCTGCTTCCCTGGGCTGGACAAACCAACACTGGAGACATGGAATAGTTCAGACTCACAAGAGACAGATTGGACCACAAATCAGAACAACGCCAAGAGTCCCAGTCACAATCCAAAGACGTCACCAACAGTAAACAACAGTGACATCGTGGGCTCGGAGTCAGGTGACTTGACTTTAAAAATAGCGATTGTTTGTTGGTTTTCTCTTTATATGATCAACTTCAACTTGTGTGAAAACTGAAGTTTGTGTTTTTGTTTTAGAAAAAACTGAAGATGAAGTCCCCAGACCCCCACAGCCTGGTCCTGTGGTAAGGAATAACACAAACATACACTGAGCTGAATCAAAACACATTTTGTAAACAATATTTGCTTTTTATTGTCCAAATGTTTCAAACTTCCCTTTCTTTGCAGAACTGCACTGAGAAAACATTTCAGAAGAAGACCGTCTGTAAGAGGTGAGTGTCTGATGAGTTATGTAACTGTGTTGTGTCTACAGAGGCCTTTTTGGCACAGTTTCTTACTCTAATGACCACATGTATTGCACCAAAAGTGGCTGTCCGTGTTGAAAAGTATAGATCATTTTGTTCGGTCTTCTTAATGTTTAATGCAGACTGTTGAATGACTTGAAAATCACAGTTGGCTAAAGCAAATACGTATGTAAAAGAAAGAAAAATGTCATCAGGCCAGTGCTGCAGACTGTATTACATAATGCTAGAGGACGGAGCCTAAAGCCAGCGTCAGACCTTCTATTTTATGTACAGATGGAACCAATTACAGCTGTTTAAATTGGTTCTAATGTACCTAATGCTGCAGTGGGTCACTTTTTTATACCAGTCATTAGTTTGATTCAAGTAAATGCTGATCAAGTGACTCTATTAATCTAGATCAGTTTAAACAGTCATTATTTCTCAGTGGATGGACATTGAGATTTCCTGTTGCTTTGGGAAAATGGCTGGTCATTAAATCGTCATCATGTACAGTAAAGTCCCTGAGTAAATTTTTGTCTTTTGCCCATAAATTATGCTGAGTGGTTCTAGTTCAGGCATGGGCAAACGTTTTGACCCACAGGCCACAATGGGTTCTAAAATTTGACGGGGGGCCAGGTCAGGAGCAGATAGATGGAGCGTTTGTATAAACTAAAACAAATGACATGTAAAAGTGAGTAAGTAAAGGCTAAAATGCTTTCAGCTTTGTCTATGCCATCTATGGGGAAATGTGGGTATTGCATAGGAAAGGCAGAAATATAATTAAATAGAAAGTAATAACATAATTTGGTGGGCCAGATTAAAAAGCCAAACGGGCCACAGTTTGCCCATGCCTGTTCTAGTTCTACTTTCTGATCAGACATAGAAATTAAAATAGTTATAAACAAAGAGAAGTTCTACAATTGTCATTGCCACCACTAGGTAGATGTGATACCCTGTAGTGTGAAGTACTTTAAGTGGCGATCAGAAATGGACTTTATAAAGTAAAGAGCATTTACAAGATTCATAAGAGCAGATTGTGTAAAATTATTATATACTTGCAGTCTATATGTATTTACTATTATTTTTTACGAACAGTATTTTAGACTAAACATGACTAGGCCTCGAACGCCACTTGAAACACTTTAACAGAGCCTCCTCTCAAAGTCCAATCTATGGTATTATACAGCTGTCAGTACAGACAATGTACTGATATAAAAACAACATCCAAAAGCTAAGTGGAAAAAGCTGACATTCAAGCATGTCTCAACTTTGTTTGTAGTGTAATTTTGCTATTTTCAAAGGAAGTGTTGATATGCAACTTTATCATTAGGTTGAAGAATCTGGAACACTCAGGTCTTAGCTCAAAATAATGAAACCATTATTATTAAATATCTGTCGATCTGACCAGTTTGACATGTTATGTAATTGGACTGTTTTCTTTTGGGCTTTGCTTTGTGTTTTATAATATATTTCTCCTCTACTCTGCAGGCCGTGCATTCTCATCATGGACTCTCTTAAACTTTCTCTTCACGAGCGAGTTGTGAAACTCTTACGAGAGTACGTTAACACGTTTAACTCCTTCTGTCTGCTCTTTTATGTTTGTGTACCGGCGTGTTAAAGACAACTTAATTCTTCTCACAGCTACTTGCAGTCAGAGTGGGAGGTACGTCGCTGCTCCACAAGGGAATTTGGTCCAGATCAAATGAAAAGCTCACACTGTCAAGTTCCTCTTCAGGACAACAGCAGCGACTGTGGCCTGTATCTACTGCATTATGTTGAAAGCTTTTTGAAGGTAAGGAACTGTCAACATCTCTTTCTGCAATTCACAGAGTTAGTCTGTTAATAGAAAATGGATTTAACTTGATTTAATTGAAAACTGCAAATAAACCCTGGAATGGAGAATGGAGAAATGAGGCTTTTAGTAGTATGTCAAAGAATGTTTCTGGTCTTAATTGCTTAGTTGTACATATTTAATTTACATATTTATTTAACACATTATTTATTGGGTTTGGTGTAATTTTCTTACTAAACAAAAATAGAGAACACCTCTCATCCAAAGAGTTTCCAGGTATTTATCCACCCAAAAGTGGGGTGTGGTGTCGAGTGGTCATGGACCTGAACAATATGATTATGTGGTTATGTGAGTCGTTGGCCCTCCCTGTCCTCAGAGGGAGGACAGGAAGGTGTGACTTATGGCTGCAAATATGCATTTATCCTACTATTGCCTACAACTGTGCTCCTACTGGCCTAATTTAAAGTTACATGCAGCACCCACTGAAACACACTTAAATGTCAAATGTTCTAAAAATTGACATTTTATTTTGATATTTACTACAGTTTTAATTTAAATTTTATACAATAAACACTGTACTTATTTTTACAGGACCCCGTGGTTCACTTCGACCTGCCTTTACAACTCCAACGCTGGTTCCCTCGGCAGCAAGTGCGGCGGAAACGAGACCAAATTAGAGACTTGGTTCTTTACCTTTTCCGACAGCAGAATCTGAATAAAAACAGATGAAACCAGACACTAATGCCTTCTTCACATTCCCTGCTCATACGTAGCATTATTGGAATATTAAGGCATTAGTAAAGTCGCACCCCAATATTAAGGACAAGGTAACTTCTATTTATCTGGAAATGCAGATGTAAGCAAGTAAGTAAGACTTTTTTTTTACTGAATGTTAAATGCTGCAAGTTGTTTTATAAAAGCTAATCTTTGTATTTATTTTTTACATGGATTCAAACAAAGTGCAAAATATAGTTGGTATGACTAGAACTCTTGTTTTCTTAGCAGTCAGTTAGAAAAGGCTTTATTAAAGTCGATTCAACGTTTTTCCTTAGATTTATACAACAGAATACAACCAGTTTATTTCAGCAGCGTCATCCAATATTTTCTAGTTCTTACACCACTGAGTTCTCACAAACTGGAATCTGTCAACAGGAAACAGTGGTAATGTTCTCCTGCTGCGCCTCATTTCCTAATGATCTCACTCATAATAAATTAACTTTTCACATATTTTCTACTGTTAATCTGTGACATTGTTTTCTGCTTTTACCATAGGAACCTTTTAACGTCATTACTTACACCATAAGTCACGTGGGAGCCATTTTTTTCTAATTGCAAAACATTTATTCGGTAGGTTTTTCTAAAAGCATTGAGGTGATAATCAGATGGGGTTTAAATTGACATACATTTACTGACATTTTTAGTAAAAATTGTCAAACAATGTATATTTTTTCCTATTATTCCATCTAATCCAGGGGTCTCAAACTCAATTTACCTGGGGGCCGCTGGAGGCAGAGTCTGGGTGAGGGTGGGCCGCGTAAGGGATTCCACAATAAAGTTTTTTTTAAAAAGTCCTCAAATGTTAACAGTTAACAGTTTTAATGATTTCTTCTGAACATGCAGTGTTTTGAACATGAATGGAACATTGAGTGAAAATCATGAACGGTTCTTCTGAACATGGCTCCTCTTGCCTACTCCTTGCTGCCAGAGACTTGACAGCGCTTCTTTTCACAAATCTGAACTACATTTGGCTTGAGAGAGGAAGCAGTTGAGACCCTCAGTATGGCTTGAAGATGATCATCCGTAAGGCTAGATCTGTACTTGGACTTATTGAAGTTCAAGGTGGAGAAGAACTTTTCACACAAATATGTGCTCCCAAAAAGGCACATGGTCCGCTTGAACATTCGGGAAAGCTCAGGGAAGTTGGGGGGCAATTCTCTCAAAAATTGCCCATACTTGTCTGCTTTTCCACTTATCTCCCTGAACTTGGCTTTGAGGTCAGAGTTACATTGCAGGTCAATGAGCTCCATTTGAATCACAGGAGGGGCATCTTGCACATCAAAGGTGAAGGGGTCTGCAAAAATTTGAAAAGTGGCTCTGTGTGTCTTGAAGTCTTCAAATCTGTGATCAAATTCCGTCTGTAGCTTCAAAATATCGTCAACATATTTCTCACCACTGAATGGTGTGCCTGCATCCACAAGTGTCTTGCATGCTGGGAAATGGCAAAGGTTTGTCTGAGAGAGCTGGGCTTTCCATAACACAAGTTTTGTGGAGAATGCTCTCACGTTGTCATAGGCAGCGCTGCCCCTGGCGTCATTTCCGGTTTGTGACGGAGCGTCCTTTAACCGGGAGAGCGCTTCCCGCTCTCGAGCCAGAGCGAGAGACGCCGGTCGGGGAGTGTCAGAGCAGCTACAGGTGCTCCGTCACACGCTTCTACCTGTAACAGCAGCGTACACGATAAACAACCCGGTAACAGTCGCCGTTCTTTTTGCGCTTCATCATGACATTCGTGGTAGAAAGTACGATAGATGGCAAGCGCAAAGGCGACTGCTGTCTGGCTGTTCATTACACGCCGTGCTGTTGTTGCAAGCGTGAAGTGCACGAAGCTGGTGTAGCCTAGCCTAGCCTAGCCTAGCCCCGACAAGGGACGGCGCGCGGGAGCTTGCTGATTGGCTCTTCGGAAGCCCACTTTCTCCGCGGGCCACACTGATATTATACCTTCATTTTAAGGTGAGGGGCCACAAAATATTGTACTGCGGGCCGCGAGTCTGAGACCCCTGATCTAATCTGAAAGGTATAAATGTTCAGAAAACACAAAAAACGGATTTACTTCACTCCAATGTTTACTGTTGAGGATTTTAGGAAGTTGATTTCTGCTTAGTTACCCTTCAGGATCTGAGGAGCTGCTATGAAGTATTAAAAAAATAGAATAGCTCTTTTTTTGTGTTGTTTTTATACTGTAGCTGAAATAGTGCTGAATGAAGGAGAGTTCTTTTTATGAACTCAAACCACTGTTTTGTTTTCAGAGAGTTATGTCTAGTCTTCTTTTCCTACATTATTATCCCTATAATATAATTTTTGTTAAGTTTAGGGAGTTTATACACTGGTTGAGGGTTTACTGATAAGTACAAAGCTAAGCTAAAATTACAACACTCTGATACTTACAAATACCATAGTCCACCATTAACTCAATTGTCTAAAAACCAAAAGTTTTTATACTATTGTAATTTTCAAAAACAAAAGTTTGTAGGAGAAAAATCCAAAAACGAAATCTCCTTTTTGTTTGTCCAAAATAAATACCTTTTTCAAACTGTACTATTTAAAGCTGCATTACTCACGAGTCACTTGCTCCACCTTCACTGGCGTTGTCCCTCCGTGTCAGCTGTTTGTAGACGAACTTGCTGAAAACGAAGGAGCATTTAACCACCTCAGTAGAGGCGTTGTGGAGGAGGTATCTGAAAGGAAAACACAAAAAGGCAATGATGAGTTTTATTCCTGCAACTAGGGAAACTATGTGTATACCTCAATCACTATGCCATACAGTATACTGTTGTATTGTAAATCTGACTCCAGTCAGTGCCTCACCAGCCATGAACCTTGTCACTGGTTTGAGCTTGAGAGCAGGATCTATCTAATCCTCACACAATATAAACTCCTGACAAATGTTTACCATTTAATCAGGCTGCCATATAAGTTTCTGTTGACCCTTTCAGGCACTCAAGTTGCATGTGAGCGGAGCTTCTCTGCATTAAAATGTGTGAAAAGTAGGCTACGAAGCTCACTGTCTCAGGAACTCTTGGAGGCCTTCATGTTAATGTACGCAGAGAAGAAAATTCTCATGTTTATAGACAATGACATTGTCATTAATAAACTTGAAGAGACCAGTGCTTTGCTTAGGAGGATTTTGATGCTGAACGTAGCCTACTAAATATCAGTGTAGCTACTTAAGAGTTTAGTGTAAACCTAACAATAGAAGACCTTTCTGTTTGGAAGGAAAATGCAATATTGATTTTCTGTTAACTTATACCCAATAAAAAGGCATTACTTTTTTCTTATCAGATTTTTTTTATCTTAAAATTTTTTATAAAATTTTAATTTAAAAATTAATCATTGTGAAAGTGAAGTGTTTTCTGTTAACTTATACCCAATAAAAAGGCATTGTAAGAGCTAGCTGCTGTTTCATTTATTCAAATTCCTTCTCCAACTGGGCCTGGTATTGGCATGAAACTCCTGGGCTGAAAAAGGGGCCCACTCCGGCCCTAAAGGGAGATACACATATATATGTATATATAT